GTGGACAAAAATTCATTTTGTGACAAGAAATGCTGTATTTCATGACAAAATACGCTTTAATGCATTTTACACACAGAAATACGAACGCCAGTCACATTTTCTCAACCGAAATAATAAAGTTGAGTTACGAAAAAAATCATTTTGTGATCCCGTTTTGTGGATAACATAAATATCACTTTTACAGGATGAATATTTTGTGCTGCTGTCACCATTATGTCCACAAAATGAATCAATTTCATACACAAAATTAGTTTTACAATTGGTTTACAATTTTATGCATAAAATTATTTGAAAACTTTGTTGCATCTTTACACAGGTTGCATTCACAACATGTGAATGTAATTTTTTTGAACGTACAGCATGCATTCAAGTATAACCGCATATTTTAATACCGTATTTTGTGTCAAGAACTGAATTTGGTCCATGAAATTAAGCAGGTGACACTTGTATGGTGTTATAAACATTGCTTTATGTGTTTGAGCACCTTGACCACAACAACACAGACTCACTGACCTATAGCATGAGTTTGGGGGTGGGGCCATTTGCTGGGCTGACCAATGAAAGTGTTTGAAAACTGCTTTGAAAACAGCTGCTATTTTTGCAATTCTTTTTTGTTACACTGATGGATTACAAATTATGGAGGCTTTGTTTTCATCGCGGAAGGAAAAATAAAAAAAGGTAATTGCAACTTATTTTCCGTCACAATTCACTTTATAACTCGCAATTGCACGTTTTTATCTCGCAATAATCACAGTTGCGAGATATAGATATATAATTCCGAAAGAAATTACATTTGCCTTTAAAGGGGTGATTTACAGACAAAGCATTATGAAAGCAATTACAGTTTGAGATGCAGCTGCTGTCAGATCCAATACAGTTCATCTTTCAAATGCTCGGAACAAATATATAATCCTCCGACGCAATTAAAAATAAACCATCAACTTGTTACTAACGCTTTTTTCTTTCTGAAGTCTGTACAGAAATGTGCAAATTCATTTAACTGACGCTTTTATCCAAAGCGACTTACAATTGCTATATATGTCAGAGGTCGCACGCCTCTGGAGCAACTAGGGGTTGAGTGTCTTGCTCAGGGACACATTGGTGTCTCACAGTGGATTCAAACCCGGGTCTCTCACACCAAAGACCCGGGTTCGAAAACACACTCTTGGAAATGGAAATACTCTTCCATTGGTCCTGTTGTCGAGAGACTCAAGCACATGGAGTACATCCGAAACTGTATAGTGTAACCCAAACACAAACATCTTTCCAGATAATTGAATCCCAGACGCTCTAGATTTTGAGTTTGGACCACAGTTGTACAACAGTTGAAAGAGACTATTTGTATATCAACTTTTTCACTCTGCACACTCGCACAGGTCAATAGAAGAAATAGACAATGGAGCCCGTTCTCATCCTTTAGCGTCACATAGAACGCTATATGACAAAACGCCGCTATACAACGCACATGGCACCCTTTATCGTTAATATTCACGCGAACCCAAGACGTCATAAATCCTTTAGCGTAATATGAGACTACCCTACCCTACCCCACACCTAAACCTAACCATCACAGCGCGTGTTATATTAAAGATAACGGCTGCCATGTGTATGATTTCTGTGTATATAGCGTTCTATATGATGCTAAAGGATGAGAATGCGTTGGACAATGCAACCATGCTTCGAAGTGAGAAAAAAATCTGCTGCATCGGCATACATGCAAGTATTTGTACATGAATAAACATATGGCAGAACGAGATTGAAGTGTAGTTACATGTTTCCCCCTTTAAATCCATGGCACACATTAACTTATAGCTAATGAAAACAATGCCCTTGGAAATAAATGAACGCATCATTAGGGTAGCAGATAAACATGGTAACTCTGTTGAAAGCGTGAATGAAAAAAAATTATATTTCTGTCATAATTTCTTAAAGGTGCATTATGCAACTTTTCTTGTTAAAAATAGCCGTTTTTCTAAACCATGCATGCTTAAACAATTGCCTGATGGGCTGAATCACTCTGATCACTGCGATTGCGATTCTATAATCCTGTACAGTAAAATAAATAAGAGGGATTCGAGACGGAATTTGAGACTTAGTGTGACGTCATGCGCGTTCAGGCTCACCTGGCTACTGTATGTCTAGCAGGTTTGTGTATTCGCCACCATTCTCCGTATCAGCGAAAACAACTCGAGCGACAAAACTTAAGTCAACTTTCGACAAAAGTAGATGATGGATTCAAAGAGACCGGCTTGTAGTTCATTACAAACCCCAATGCAAACTCCACGTAAGACAAAGAAAATAAAACATCGGTCAACATCGGGGAGCTTTCAACAAATAGGATCCTCAAATGGATCCTATATAAAGTAATAACTTATATTGTTCATGAACATGTTTCCATAATAATACAATCATAAGTGGATAAAGTAAGCACATAAAAAGTTCAACACGGAGATAGATGGGAACAAAAACCGAAGTTTTCTACTACCCCCGTTTTCCCCTCACACACATTTACTCAAATGCCTTTTCTTTCATATTTAAAATGACTTGCGGATTTATAACTTTATTACCTTTATCATAAGACTGTAACAAAAGATGTGTGCGGCTGATGCTCCTTTGGTTATGAACAGCTTGTGCAAGCGTGCGCGTGGTCCATGGGCGTGCACACCTCTGGTTGCAGTTTCGCTTGTCGCCAGAGGGGGCGTAGTTCTGCTAAAACTCAGATACTTGCTCTATGCACCTTTAAGGTAAAACCAAACTTTTATTATGACGATTTGACGTGAAGATCTTTCGGTTTTAGTGTCAGTATGTATTTGACAGTATTTTTTTCTCAAATGAAGCTTGTGAAGTAACTCTCAAAGGAGCTCTGGGGTTAAAGTTCATGTGTTAATGTCCTCGTGTACGCAGACGGCAGACGCTGAAAACACTGTGAGATTCACATGTGTGTGAGTTTGTGTATCAGACGAAACCGCGCTGTTCATTCACACAGAGACGCGCAGAAATCATTAGCGACATGCGTTTACTGGCTGTCGTGGCGTTCATTTCTCGAATTCTCATTTATAATATTGTTTATTGCCCAGTCCTAATGCAGATTACTCAGAACTTTTAAAATCTAATTTCACCAATATTGAATTCTAAATTTGCTATAATTCAAGAAACGTTTTGCACAAGAAACATGTTTCAATGTTTTTCAACTAAAACGATGCACTTTTTATGCGTTTTGTCTGTTCATTTACACAACACCGCCAGTTTGTGGGCCTGAAAACACAAACTTTCAGGCTTAAAGGATTAGTTCACCCAAAAATGAAAATTAAGTCATTAATTACTCATCCCCATGCTGTACCAACCCCGTAAGACCTTCGTTCATCTTCAGAACACAAATAAAGATATTTTTGATTGAATCTGAGAGCTGGATCAGTCCTACATAGGCTTCCTAAGGGACTAGCACTTGACGGCCCATAAAGTCATTAAAGAAAATGTTTAAATATTCCATGTGCCTACAGCGGCTCAATTATAAGTTTATCAAGTGACGAGAATACTTTTTGTGCGAAAAAAAACACATAAATAACGACTTTATTCGACTATTCCATTACTTCCTTATGGGCCTTGAGACGAGAATTGAAGAGATTTCCAGAACGCTTGCGCGAGAACTGAGACGAGGACGTTCTTCTTCGACTACTTCTTGTTACCGGCTGCTCACCGCTTAGGAGTATTACCGCCACCTACCGATGATGATCGGTATGATGATGATCCATATATAAGGCGATGATCCATAGATGATCAGATGATGATCCATATGTAAGGCGCTCCGGATTGTAAGGCGCACAGCACTGTCGTATTTGAGAAGATTAAAGGCTTTTAAGTGCGCCTTATAGTGCAGAACATACGGTAATTAAAACGCGTATGTACAGCGCACGTCTTCCTCTGCTTGTAAACATAAAGTTTTGCGCTTCCAGCTATATCAGCACATCATCTTATATGGTAGGGGGCGGTAATACTTCTAAGCGGTGAGCAGCCGGTAACAAAAAGTAGTAGAAGGAGAACGTCCTCGTCTCAGTTCTCGCGCATGAGTTCTGGAAATCTCTTCAATTCTCGTCTCAAGGCCCATAAGGAAGTAATGGAATAGTCGAATAAAGTCGTTGTTTATGTTTTTTTCGCACAAAAAGTATTCTCGTCGCTTGATAAACTTATAATTGAGCCGCTGTAGGCACATGGAATATTTAAACATTTTCTTTAATGACTTTATGGGCCGTCAAGAGCCAGTCCCTTAGGCAGCCAATGGAGGAGTGATTCAGCTCTCAAATTTATTAAAAAATATCTTCATTTGTGTTCCGAAGACGAACGAAGGTCTTACGGGGTTGGTACAGCATGGGGGTGAGTAATTAATGACTTAATTTTCATTTTTGGGTGAACTAACCCTTTAAGGCACGAAGTGTTTCTTTACAAAGTGACGTCGCCCACTTTTTGACGTTTTCCGTAAATGCTTTTCCATATTTACTATACATCGTTGTCATGTAAAAATACCCTAAAATTGAATGTGTGCACTCTAAACTATTTGCAAATAATATTTTACTTTAAAGTAGTAAGACAGCAAGACCTTTCTGTTTTTGATTCCCTAAAATCGCTTTGAATACTTTGATTAATTGCTTTAAATAACATGACCAATTACCCAATTTCAGTTTGGGCCTGTCCCTTGAGCTGCCCCTGGATTCTCAAGAAGATTTATTCATATTAGCGAGCTCATAGATAATGTGAACGTGAAGGAAAAATTCTGCTAAATTTTTGCACCCAAGAAGCAAACAATATACAGGAGGATAATAAGAAAAATATCTTTATTTGACTTAAAAAACCATCCATATTTGAAATATAACAGACAAAACAACAACAAAAAGACAATTAAAAAGTTGAATTGTTAGATTAACAATTCAACTTTTAAAGTCAAACTTGAAACAAGAAAATTGAAAAAAAAAAAAAATCTCTTCATGCCTCTTTTCATTCACACATCTGACATCATCACAGTTTTGTGGGCAGTTACCTGATCTCGTGCGAGACACACACTACACACTCTTTTTCTCACACACACACACACACACAGTACACTGGCTAAAAGCAGATTTTGAATTGATAACATTTGCAACATAGATCTTTACTCGAAGGCAGATAACAATCACACACACGCACAGCCACAAACTGTTTCTTAGTATTTAGCATTATATAACTTCTTGTCAGATGTCATTCAGAGAAATAATTACTTTGATTACATTCAAGATATCTATACACCTATACAGTACATTCGGCTTTGCATTTAGACACCTACACGCCTGCAATATAAATACTCATGTCGCCGAGTTAAAAAACAATGAGAAAAATAGAGAACTGTGTTAGGAAAGCAGTGTAATACAGACTGGAAAAAAGAAAATCTATGCAAATATACAGCGATTTATCAAAAATATTTGACCCACTAACAAACAATTCTTACTATATTTTGAGAGAAAAATAGTTACATTTGTAGTTGTTACTTTTGGCCCATTAAAACCTGCTTTATCTTTTCTAATTTAATACAACATGTTTCACTACAAAAGCATGATGATTTGAGTGAAAAGCTGAACTTTTCTAATAAAATTTTGTTGTTTCGCTTTCATGACCACCGACATGAACAAAACCTGATGATCCTATTCTGACCAAGAATCTCAGATCTCCCATGTGTTCTCAGAGTTTTGGACCGCCAAAACCAGCAACTTTGATCATCATGAAAATCAATGTATGATCACTGTGTCCGAGGAGCAGTTTGTAGCTTTAGGGATGTGAAAGTGGTTACTTGGTCAGGCAATTGCAATACGATTTTTCAAGTCTGCATTGCCATGTTAATGATCCTCCATTTGGCTGGCTCCGGGAACATGAGCTCTTCTATGTGACGGTTAGTCTTGCAAGTGTTGGATGCTCCTCTGATACTCTTCTACAGGTAAAGCACCGTGACTCTGAAGCTCGTATCCGCGCAAGTAGTGACCGTTGGTCTGGCCTGCAAAATACAGGAGCTGCCTGGCAAACATGGGCTCCACCTGTGAAACAAGACAAGACATGTTCAACAGTTCTCATGGTTTGGACTAACACTCTGTCTACGCCAGGTGGAAAGATTTCACACCACAACCATTCATTGTTCTTGCATGAAACTCTAGATGGCGCAGGCTGATAGGTCTTGAGATCATGATCATTATCTACATAGCACAGCTGATTGGTTGCCGTTGCGGCGGGCCAACATTCAAACACTGGAGTGTTGCTGGTAGCTTTTTGCAGTGTGCTTTCAGTAACCCTTCCCCAGCTCCACCTGTATAGATCTGCTACGGGGGTTATTTCATGTATTTCACGTGTGCAAGCATCTCTCACACCCTCACAGCAATATCTGCGAATGAATTGGCAGTAGAAAGTCTCGGTAGCAGATCTATTACGTCAATACATTAGCATTGGCGTATCCATTACCATGCCAATCGCCATTACCATACCAATCTCCCAAGAGTTGTCATCACAGAATAACCGTAACGTCACAGGACAATATTGTTGGGATCGCTTTCAGAACGATTTTTCCTGCTGATAAAAAAACTGACGGCCAATCAGAATCCATCGTGCCTTAAAGGATTAGTTCACTTTTGAAAAAAACTTTTGCTGATAATTTACTCACCCCCATGTCATCCAAGATGTCCATGTCTTTCTTTCCTCAGTCGAAAAGAAATTTAGGTTTTTGATGAAAACATTCCAGGATTTTTCTCCATATAATGGACTTCAATGGGAACCGGATGGTTCAAGGTCCAAAAGACAGTTAATAACAGTTTCAGATGCAGCTTCAAATGTCTTTAAACGACACCAGACGATGAATAAGGGTCTTATCATGCGAAACGATCGGTTATTTCAAAACTTATTCCAAAAATGTAACTTTTCTAAGGACAAATGCTAGCCTTGCTCTATTCAGTGAGGCGCGTTTGTAACGTCACGTAATACGTAATTACGTTCAAAAGGTCACGGGCGACGTAGCCGGAAGTACAGAATCAAAATCGTCCGACATCGTTGTTTTTCCTTTTAATTCCTTTTTTTGTAAACGGCGTTTGAGTTAGTTTGCACGTTCAACCTATGCGTTCAACTTGTAAACACTGACTCTGTACTTTCGGCTACGTCACCCGTGACCTTTTGAACGTAATTACGTAATACGTGACGTTGCAAACGCGCCTCACAGAATAGAGCAAGGCTAGCATTTGTCCTTAGAAAAGTTACATTTTTGGAATAAGTTTTGAAATAAGCGATCGTTTCGCATGATAAGACCCTTATTCATCGTCTGATGTCGTTTAAAGACATTTGAAGCTGCATCTGAAACAGTTATTAACTGTCTTTTGGACCTTGAACCATCCGGTTCCCATTGAAGTCCATTATATGGAGAAAAATCCTGGAATGTTTTCATCAAAAACCTAAATTTCTTTTCGACTGAGGAAAGAAAGACATGGACATCTTGGATGACATGGGGGTGAGTAAATTATCAGCAAAAGTTTTTTCAAAAGTGAACTAATCCTTTAAAGAGCTTGAGCCTTTAAAAGCAGCAAACGAGAAAACTGCAGTGCGCACAATTGTTATCGTTAGCTGATGTGGACACCAATACAGATATCATAATAGTTATCTTTATTGTTATCGCTCTTGGTGTGAACTGGCTTTAGTGAGGTAAAGAACTACAATCCCCTGAGGCATTGCAAACAGCATAAGAGCTCTTTTGGCCGGTTTGCTTGTCATGACTCTCTGACTCTCTGAAGCATCATGGGTAATGTAGTTTTCACCACAAATTCAGCTGTTAAATCAAATTGAGACGTCCTGTAAATCTTATGCATCATTAAGCACTTTTGTTCTCTAAAGTTACCAAGATGATGCAGACGTTTCATTCTAAACATCATATCTGGGTATGTTCCTCACTGTTGGTGAATTATGATTATTTCAATCACGACAACTCAGGGAATAGTTTTAGCATGTTATTGAATATGGCAATGTTAATGTATTTGGTCTTGGCAGACTAGATCAGCTGCACTGTTGATTATTAACAGATACAATGACACACTACTGTGAGCATGCAAGATATGATGATGATGATGCTGCATAAATAGGCATACATAAATCCAGTAGCAGATTTAGGCAGGTGGAGCTGGGGGAGGTGGAGGGTTTCAGAGAAACAGTGATACATTTAAAATCCCAAACCGCAACATAGTGTCGGCCCAGATCCTGGGTAGAAACCATGTTGCTGTCTAGGATTAGTATGGAGGTGGCTGGTTTTACCTGAGCTGTGATCATTTTGCTCTGCCGCTGGGGGTCTGGGAACTCGTCCCCAAAGCACAGCACCACCTGAGAGCGCGGCATGGGGCGGCCGTGGTGGATGAAACCCTGCAATTCTGTATCGAGGGAAGAACAACAGATCACATCAGTTAAACAGATAAATCAGTCGAATTTCACATATTTAAGGGTGAATCTCACACAAAAAAGCTCATTCCAGTAACAAAATAAGAAAACATATTTAGCATGTAGGAACATGAAGCCAATTTTTCTAAAAATTTCCCCAATAAATTATCATTACCGAAATGCATGTTTTGCCTATTATAATTATTGATCAATGGTAGGTTATTCTCGTTATATATTAAGTATAATACACTGTAAAAAGGGTTTTGTAAAGTTAAAAGTTTTGTAAATAAAACAAAGATTATTGGAGTATGTTACTACTAAAATACTATTTAAGATTTCACAACTGGATCAATGTGTTACTCGCCATTTCCTTGTAATAATTGTGAAATTTACTAGCAAATTCTGAGTGAAAATTGTTTTTACATAAAAAAGTCAGGGTTCATTTTTTTGCATAAATGAAAATAAATTCTTCATTTAAATAATTTTTCAAATTCTAGTAATGAGAATGAGATTTATTTGCATTTTATTAATCCAGCAATAACAATTGTGATGGGGTGGAATGTGTTTAATTGATTTTCGATAATATTACTGACAGGTTGAAAAGATTTCAAATTGATTCAAATCATAAAGTTTAAAATGTAATTTAAGAAACAATAAAAAATGTATATGCCTTACAAAATATAAAGTGGTACAACAGCATTTGAAATCACTGAGGGTTAATTTTAATGCCATTTGACATTCTTTACAGTCAGTACTCTTCCCATCAAAGATAAAAAAAAAACTCCTGATGAGCAATAATGTGAACACTAGACCCCCATGTTCACATAAATTGATGACTAGTAGAGAGATGAAATGCAAATGAACTTTAGCAGGTGCTGATGGAGTCCGTATGAATGTGTGTGATGGCCAGGAACACTCGCTAAGAGCTTGCTGGAAAATACCAATGTCAAGCACCGAGTGAAAAGTGTGACATTAGAGACAGACCTAATCATGACATGTGGCAAACCACTCATAGGTTAATGAACACACCGCTTAACTGCCACAAGTTAAAGGACAGGTCTTTCCCCTGATAAGACAAAAGAATATGGGCTAAAAGATGCTCACTTGATCAAGTTAAAAACACACCTCGTCAGCATTTCCACAGATAAACAAACATCTTCAGACAAAAATGTCAGCGTTCATTTAAAGTCAGCCTAAAGTCTACACTCTGGCATTGGTGGTTCCGTGAAGAACCTTTATTAGAATATTCTCCACACTGTGAAAAGGTACTTTGAGGAACCAAACTCGGTTCTGGAGGTCCTGCAGAGTTTAGCTTAGACCTTGCAAGGATCTCTTATTTTGGAGCTGAACTCTGCAGGACAGTGGCCCTACATGAGCATGATTGGACACCCCTGATCTATTGCATTGCTACATTCTTACAAAAAAGGTTGAAAAGCGGTTCTTGACTAAACTTTAGGCCCTGTTTACACTTTTTCCATTGTTACACGATGTTCTAAAATTAAAACGATCCTTGCCCATACTGGTATTTCCACAGCATTTCAGAAAAGATCTGTCACATGAGCCCATGTCACATGAGCATTCATGCAGACTGAACATGCACGTAGAAGCGTAAGCAGTTGCGATTGCTCTAATAATAGCCGGCCTCTAGAGTATTGCGCATGTAGGCAGCCGCAGGATTGTTAAATGCAGAGTTTATCTGCACAATAGTTGATAAAAAGGACAACAAAATCAGCATGGTCGCCGAGGCTGGTCTGTTATTGTCGTGTTACGATAGCGTAATGGTCATGTGATAGGGGCTTGACGAATCAGGGAAGGATCCGCAATGATCCAAAAGACCCAATCAGGGAGCGAATGTCTCATTTTCGTAAGTCTACACTTTGGTCCATCTACACTGAAACACAACCCCCGAGTTGAGGGCCTCCAGGAGTTGGATTGAGGGCCTCCAGGAGTTGGGTTGAAGACCTCTGGTCTAAACCAAGCACATGCTGCAGTGAAGAGTGAAATCTCCTCTCACCTGACAGGAATTGTTGCGTGTCCATCAGCTTGCAGGTCTGCTCTTTCTCCAGCTTGTTTGGCTTGTCTGCATACGGTGCCAGTGGGCCCTCCCAATACACCCTGCCTTGGCACAGGCGCTTGGCGTACAGCCCGTCCGGCGCCAGCCACAGCAGAACGCCACGCTCCAAGATGTTGGGCAGCTTCTCAGCCCCGCGCCGCTGGGACTGAGGGTATGGGAAGGGAAAGAGCACAGGCTCTGCCCCACCATAGAGCCTTTCCTCTGGGCAAGGAGAAGAAGGGGACGAAGGGGATCCCGGGGACGAGGAGGACGAGATTCGACAACCGTCATGGCTGCTGGTGGTCACTTCCTTAACGAGTGACTCGCGATAGTACAGCGAGACGTGCAGCCGATAGTCTACGGGGGACAGAACAAAGAAAGTTTTGGAGTTTAGTCATGGTGACTGGTTTTTGAACATTTTCGAAGCTGCAATGTACATTTAGGTGTTTTATGTGGTTTCTAGGTGGTTGCTTATTGGCTCAATACACAATACCACCAACCTCAATACACAATACACAATCTAAATCGTATATAATCCTATAATAACATCAAATAATGCTTGTGTTCGTTTACCTGAAATGGCCATGGCTTCAGCGGATCTCATACTGGGGTCTATTGCCACTGGATGGGTTTCTGTCGGTGAGTAGGAGTAGAAGGAGCCAGATACCTGGTATCCTGGAAAGTGTACGAGCATTAAAATAGCTGAATTTACCACAGCAGACACTTATATTTTCAAAAGCGCCATCAAAAATAATTAAGTGCCTAAGAAGTTAATTAGATAAGACAATATCCAAGCTAACAATATATATATTTTTTTTAATTTCCCATTAAGTTATAAAAACGTTATTTCTGAAAAGTGCCCAGTTTTTTTTATTTATGTTTTGGTTATGCAAACGTTAGGCATTCTATTTCATCATTTTGCAAATTTTAAGGAATCGTTACTTTGGAATGTTCTCTGAACGTTCTGAAACATTTTTTTTTTTTAAACGTAGACGACTAAAACGTCTAGGAAAAAAACATTCCGTGAACAAATATCAAAATAACGGCGGGTTTTTTGTGCTTACATTTTGAGAACATTATTAAAGACCGGATAACTCTAACCAAACATCACATAATTGTAAGAACATTCCCTGTTATCTGGGATGTTTAGCTTTCCACTTTCTCTCATTGTAAGCCTTCAACAATCAGAGTAGGGATGGAGAGCAGACCCAAACCAGGACTGGACCTGCTAACCACAGATGAAGACTAGACTAAGGCCTAAACCAGAAACCCAGATCAAGACTTGTCAGTCCAAGGACTAGGCTACCTTCATTTCACAATTTAGAACCTTTTTTTATGAAGGTTAAGTAGCATTTCAGGATCATGCAGTTCTTGTAAATTCTGTAATGGTGATTAATTTTATCAACTTTAGTACAATAATCCCTGAAACAAATAATGATAAAGCCAGATGTGGACAAAGACTCTACATTTTGAGATTTGACCAAGGCACTGTTTGCATCATCTTGAGAGTCCCAAAACAAAATGAGCTGTAGACGGTAGTACAGAAGTCTGGTACACTTCTCTGTTATTTATACACAGTCTGGTATTTATTGGTACACCTTGAGTTTGCAGTTTTGCAGCGTGAGAAGAGACACTAATAAATAATCTTTAATACAGACACAGTGTATCATAAATATGTATTTCCTCTTTCTTTTTAAAAAGTTGCTCCCCTTCGATAAACGACGCTGCTCTCAATCATTACAGGAACAAGCGAACAAGAGAGAGTTTCTAGCACCAATAACTATATGCTCTAAATGTTTGCTAGTGCATGGCTTGATAGCTTCATGAAGATCCTGGAAAGCTGATTGGTTGTCTGAGTAAAGTGATTGGGTGTCTGAAGAGAATGTGAGAGGTGCTTGCTGTGTGAAAATACAATGCCTCGTATGCATGATTAGCATGAAATGCTAACACAATTAGCATGTTGCTAACACGATTCTAACACAATTAAACACAATCTTAAGGGTTAGTTCACCCAAAAATGAAAATTCTGTCATTAATTACTCACCCTCATGTCGTTCCAAACCTGTAAAACTTTCGTTCATCTTCGGAACAGAAATGAAAACATTTTTGATGAAATCTGAGAGATTTCTGTCCCTCCATTGACAGTCTACGCAACTACCACTTTGACGCTTTAAAAAGTTCATAAAGAGATCGTACACTAATCCATATGAACTGAGCAAATTTTCTGAAGAGACACAATCACTTTTTATGATGAACAGATTTAATTTAGGCTTTTATTCACATATAAACATTGATCAGCAGAAACAGAAACTCAACTGACGTGCAAATACGAAACCTCATTGGTTCTTGCTGAAGCTCAAACGTAGTTTTAGTCTTTTGGAAATATTATACTTTTTTAGCGTTAAATGTTGGATTGTGATTGTTAAATCCGCAGTATTGTCATTTCTTTTTGTGTTTTTCTTTTTATGTTTTTAGAAAATATGTTGTGACAACAGCGCGTAATGAATGACCACATGAATTTCCCCTTGTGGGATAATAAAGTTTACCTTGACCTTGACGTGCTGCATAACACGAGAATGAACCTCACTGGTTCTCACACGTCAAGCAAACATGCTTGAGCTTCCGTTTTCCACAACTGATGTGTAAGTTGATGAAAATTTTCGGAGAATTCTGGAATAAACCACTTAACACGTATGTATTATTTTCATAATATCTTATTGAACTTTTTGAAGTGTCAAAGTGGTAGTTGTGTAGACTGTCAATGGAGGGTCAGAAATCTCTCAGATTTCATCAAAATGTCTTCATTTTTGTTCCGAAGATGAACGATTATCTTACGTGTTTGGAATGACATGAGGGTGAGCGAATGACAGAATTTTCATTTTTGGTGAACTATCCATTTGATGTTGTAAACTCATTTTGTAGTATTATAGAAGCTGGAAGCCGTTACCGTTGTCACAGGGTGATGCGTGCCAGGGTAAGGAGCGAGTCGGGGGATACGGACACTGGCCGTACGGTAACTCCGCGTGAGGCGTCTGGGCATGAGGCTGGTCTGCACTGTATTCCCTCCAATCACGCCTCTCCTGGGGGAGCATATATCCTGGGATCTGCAGGAGACAATGCAGATGTTTTTGAGTCTTTATCACTAGACTAACCTGAGGAAAACAACACGGTCACCAGCATAGGTTTCATTTTGGATACCGATACCCAGCATGCAGGAATGGCTATTAGAGTTCTTAAAGGAGTAGCTCACTTTTTTGCTCAAAATTTTCTTTTTAAATTTTGTAATTTACTCACCCCATGTCAACCAAGATGTCCATGTCTTTCTTTCTTCAGTCAGAAAGAAATTGAGGTTTTTGATGAAAACATTCCAGCATTTTTCTCCATATAATAGACTTCAGTGGGAACCAAATGGTTCAAGGTCCAAAAGACAGTTTCAGTGCAAACTGCAAACTGTTCAAAGGGCTTTAAATGATTCCAGACGATGAATAAGGGTTTTATCAAGCGAAACGATTGCTCATTTAATAAAAAAAATCTTAAGTTTTATAAGTTTAATGCTCGCCTTGCTCTGTTCTGTGATGCGCGTTTGTGACTGTTCGAACTCGTTCATCAAAATGAATGAGTCAATTTGTTCGTTTCGTTCGTTGAATGAACCAAATGACACGAAAAAAGATTTGTTCATTTTGATGAACGAGTTCGAAGAGGAGAGTCACGGACGTGCATCACAGAACAGAGCAAGGCGACCATTTGAGCTTATAAAACGTAAACTTTGTTATTTATTTATTAAATTAGTGATCATTTTGCTTGATAAAACCCTTATTCATCGTTTGGAATCGTTCAAATCGTTCAATCGTTTCGACTGAAGAAAGAATGACATGGATATCTTGGATGATATGGGGGTGAGTAAATTATCAGCAAAAGTATTTTCAAAAGTGAACTACTCCTTTAACTAGATTAACCAATGAGATTTACTTTGCGTTTCCCAAAAGCACCGTAAGCCTAAATAAACCATATACTGTAATCATTGCCACCAATGGCGTCTCTATGATCAACTTACGGTATAGCTTCAATTCTGCTTTTGAGAAACGCAGCCATGAACCAGCTAGTCTTTTCAGCAGGGGGTAATTGTGCACTTTCACTATAGGGTTATTATGGTAAACCAGAACTAGAGATAAAACTAAAGCCATTTAAAAAACTTGGTGCACTAATTTAAACTAAAACTACTGATACACTATAGGCATATTTAAAAACATAACACAACAAAATGACTATAACTGAAACTCAAACAGATCAAAAAAGAGCTATTTATAAATATTAACATAACTATAATAGTATCTCAATGATGCTAAAATAACTCTTACTTGGAAAGCGTCTGCTAGGAAAAATATAAATGTAAATGTAGTTGATAAGGAGATGCAATGCTAATAGGACACTGAATACATGAGACGTCTGCCATGGATATTAATAACTTGAGAAAAGTGTGACATCATGGCATCTTACCTGAGGCTGTAGAGAGGTATAAGGAGAATGCATGGGATAACTAACAGGAGTCACGTGTGCCGTGTTGTCCTCCATACTACTGGCCTTAGAGCCTAAAATGCAAAAAATAACAGCTCTTCATACCCTTCGCAGAGAATAACTGCACAACAATGTTTGTCAATCTCAAGCTGCAAAACCTGCACGTTTTTTATTTTATTTATCTCTCATTGTGATCTTGAATCAGATTAACTTCCCCTCCCTCTTCTCTTCTCTGATGATGAGGGCGGAGCAACCTGTCACTCACATGAGATCAGCCAATAGCAAACCACCACCATCCAATCAATTCCCGACGGACAAAACCAAGCCCCACGTTTGTTCTTGTTTAAGAAGCCATTTCACAACTTTTATTTCATGTTGAGTTTTATTGTGGTTTGCTCACCCAGAAAGCAAGCATACATTTCAGAAAGCCGATCTCATGGAAAACTGTTTTACAAGTTTACAAGCGATTTTGAATGAATTTGAACCAATTCACCACCAATTCGCCAAGACGTAAAATAGTTATGGGTTGATCCCTCCATCCTGTGTTGACGTATATCTCGTTTAAACAGAAGCTTTTTAAATGTGTATATCTACTAAAGCATTTGCTGAAAGATGCACGTTCTCTTCCAGTTCAAATCTTGCCTCTACTTCACAGGTAGTTCACAAGCTCTAAGAATAGCAACTAGGAGTGAATTTGTCACCTCTTATGAAATGCTTGTTCTTGCACAAAATACTCGGATATCTTAGGGTCCAACCAATTAAATGTCCTCATGGTCTTGACCCAAACCCTCAACAGCACAAGCTTGAGTTATGCAAGGTCTGAGGGGCGACTTTGTCACTTAGCGCTGTACACTTGGTAACCGAAGCTCTCTATAAAAAGCTTGAGGGATTTTAGCACATGTAGCGGCTTCCTCTTAGCTTCCTGCTACACATACTGAAGGCAAGTAGCAATATTTAATGTGATTGCAGAGCAAATTAGCTCTACTCAGAATTGAGAGCCGGTGAGTTTCAATGCATCAAACCAAGACCAAAATCTGCACCCGTTAAATAGGTGAAAAAAGTGCATTAGAAGGTAACCAATAAATTGGTAATAAAAGACCTTCTATTCTTGAAACAAGAGAAAACCAAGCATCCAATGCGAATTACCTCTCTTTGCTCCTTCTGGTATTATCCTGTAGACCTTGTAAGGATCAGATATGTCTAACTGGCTTCGCTCCACCAGTTCATCAAAATCATTACTTTTGTTCAGGGCACAGCGGAGCCTCGTCTTCCACGTTGGAGGGTCTGGTTTGTCCAAGCCTTCCCTGTATTTGCCTTTGAACAGAGCCCATGCCTTCAACAACCATGAAGAGAAGATGAGATGAGAAGAAGCCATGAGGAAGGAGAACTTTAATGCTCACATCTACCAATTATGAACAGATAGGAACCCCTATACAACGCATATAATAGAATAGATAGTCATTACGATTCCTATTAATGATAATAATATAATAAGAAATTAATAAAATGCTGTATACTTAGTACATTTGATTGATTGAACTGTCATTCGGCCATTCAATGGGCTTTTTCAGCTCTAAAAACTAAAGCATCTTCTCTGACTGACATAAATCAGCCTACAGAATATGAGGTTACACTTTATTTTAAGCTGATATAGTTACATTGTAGTTACATAAGTATAATACATTTACTTAATTGTAAGTATGCATATATAGCAACTACATGTAGTAATTTGTAACTACGTTGAATATTATTTTAAAAGTAAAAAAACACAGCCTAAAATAAAACGTAATACACACACTGTCAAAAATGTGCCTTAATGTATTTACTCTTATAATAATGCCTATACATTATACAATTGCCCCAGAACGTATGAAGCCACTTAGGGGTGCATGGATGCATCGCATCAGATAACAAAATAAAAAAACCATGTGGCTACAAACAAATGCGTTTTTCTCAGAACAATCTGCACTATTCTTCATAATGTTTTGCTTGTTGACCTTGGATCTGTTGGTGTTTTTAGTGGCAAGTGACAAGTGTCCCGTAACTATAAGCCTTATCTAATGTTTGCAACCACTTCTCTCTTCATTTTCAACATTGTTGCGAATTATTTAAAAGCTAACCGACTTCTGTCGGTCTTTGTCTTGCTTGAAAAAAGTGAGTTTAGAGAACTTGGTTTGATAAATACACAGATTTGAATATGGTCTAAAATTCAATAAACCTGTAAAAAAAAGTTGCTACCTTCAATTTTTACGTACAATCAACTTGAATGTTTAAGTCGTTCCAACTTAAATAACGGTCAAATGAGTTGAATCTTGTACAACTTAAGTTGAAAATGACTTAACTTATTCTGGTGAGTTAAAGCAATGCAAAACATAAGTTGTCATAACTTATTGATAATATATTTTACAGTGGCATCCTCAATCACCTTGAAGAGCGCCGCGTCCTCGTCGCGATTGTAGTCCTGCTTCCCCGCGTGTTTCCAGGGAATCCTGAAAATGCTTTTCTCGTCATTTTCCCAAACCAAGCCAGGATACTCCCCGCTGTCAATCTGATCGATGAGCCACTGTCTAAGTTTGCCATTCCCACAACTGACTGACATGCTGCAGTCCCCATCTAAGTTCATGTCTGTCCGGGAGCAGGTGCACATGCAGTGAGCAGAAGAGTGTTTCAGATGAGTTCAGTTCATGCATGCAAATTCCTTAATAGCAAACTAAATAATAACTACTCTAGTGCAGGCGTTCTGGTGAAACCAACAGACACTGGTGTAGGATATAAAAAAGCATCTAAAAGTAAGTAACAGAAAGAATGAAGCTTTGAAAGTTTACATGCAAGTCAATAAACTACACACATGCACATAATATATAAGATAATAAGTATGAAGCATAAGCATCATAAATACACAGGCAACATTTTTAATAATTTTATTTTTAAAATCAAGTGGCATTCAGCTCATTTAGGCTGATCAACAAGTCTTACCTTAGTGAATGCAGACAGCTTGACTTTACTTTCACAGGCGACACTTCTCAAGTCATGTCAGAGGAAGGTGTTTCTATTCTTAAATAATGTAAATTGCACTAGGTGGAGAGATGGGTGGAGCATTACCATTACGTGGAAGCGTGTTTCTCCCTCCAGCAACATTAAGAGATGAAGACTTCAGAGAAACACGAATAACCGCAAGAATAAACATCCAACATACGGGAAATCCCTCGTCCGAGACAAACATATAACGTTACACAGACACACACACACACACGATGGAACAAAAATAATGTCGATAAAATATGCCAGAAAATCTCCCAGCACTCGTCATCAGAATTATCCTGGTGTTTGATGTTTGTTTATGTAGGTTTCTTTGAGGAAATTCACAGCAGTCACGGAACAAGACTGTCCCGTCAACAGAGACTAATGGCAAAGTAATTGTGACTTTTCAAAACACTTACAGAAAGACAGAGTCGTACACTGCTCGGGGTGAGTTTAATCCCTAAAATAATAGAAGCATACGATATCATACGATATGACATATCAAATTCATCAAGCGTTTCATCTCAAGTCATTTCAAATATCATTGTGTTGCGAGTGTTGAATATGCCGCCACCTGCTGTCTGCCCGCGAAACAACAGCGCTGAGAACAAGGTAACTGGAGCATATTAGATATAATATTAGCAGATTCTGGATGATTATGCATCAGCCAATGTGTCATTATATAAAAATGAACAGGGACATTTGCCAATTTAGTAGCACAAAATTTAAAATATTAAAAGATGGGTAAGATGCATGAATAAATGGCATTTTATGTGATTTCTTATTAATATTTACACACACACACACACACACACACAATTGACACTTTAGTGTATATAGGGGAGAGCGGGGCACAACGTAACACTTTTGGACTTTGTCAATTTGTGTAAATCTACTTCGGGCTTAGAGTATTTTTTTTCCCACATTAATTTCCCACATGTCTCACAATTATGTGGTTTTGTTTTATTAATACAGTGAATAATTTTTTTCTTGATTTACCCTGAAAGAATGGATGTGAGATGTGACAACATGCCCCATAGGTGGGGTACATTGTAACATGTGAGGGGCACATTGTAACATCATCATGTAACAGCTTGAAATGCTATCTGATCTAATAAAAAAATACATACAAGTCAAACCAAAATATTTTCTTAATAAAATACAATTATTAACTTTTTCATATAAAATAATGGCATTTTTTTAATAAGTCAAAATATATATATATTTTTTTGAGTTTGACAACAACACCACCATAGGCTAAAACGCAGCTATACAGCATAGTTCAAAACAAAACAATAACTAATAACTTCTGAACATTGACACTGAGTCATTATTTTATTTACATGTTTCTCGTGTTTTCACAATATAATTTATAAAAGTGAATCTAATATCATATTTCTATTAGGGGCACATTGTGACACATGCCCCAACAGCACAAGTTTAAACCCTGCTAGTGTCTTTTGCTAGTTAGCGAAGCATTAAAGAACTATATCAACTGTTAAACAACAGATTGGAGATTGAAATAATATCAGATTTGTTTTATTTTTAAATAAAAACAAAAATAGAGATGAAAAATTAACTTAGGTAAGATATGTACTTTTGCTAAGTTTAAATAAATGTTCAGTGATATCTTACAAAGATTACTGAATTTTGGCGTAATTTTTTCTCTATATAGTGTTGCATTGACAACTAGTAAATACACCAAGTTTCATCATGCTGGCATGAGTGGAAGTATTTAAAACAAACGTGTTACAACTAGCCCCGCGTGACGTTGTGCCCCGCGCTCCCCTAGTGTCAATGTAAAATACTAAATCAACTACTATATTTAAAATGTTATTTTTACAATTTTGTTGATAATTGAATAACATGACAAACAATGCAGAATACCTGTAAAAAAGATTCATTTGTAAGGTAAAATTAATATACAGGCATATTTACATATAAAATCAAATTGAATGATTTCACTCAACCTCTTGGTTTCAATGAAAGCAATGTTTAAAATATACATATAATTCATGGAAATATTAAATAATAATCCCATTGACTAGATGAGCCAAGTTTGTGAACAAACTCTGAATTTGAAAGTTTGAAATAACTATAGGCTTAAAGTTTGAATTGTTGAAATTAAGGTTTGGGACAGCATGGTTTTTAGCATGAATTACCAAAGCGGCAACCTTCACGGTTCATTTCTCTCTTGAATCTAACCCAGAAGTGACTTAAACTGCAGTTCATTGACTGGCCGCTAGAGACAGGCTCCAAAAGAGAGTCAATCCCATGAATTTTGAACAACCCCCCCATGTTCAAAATTTTGCTGCTTTGAAAAATATTTTTACAGCCTGGTGCAAAAAGTGTTTTTGGTCTATATAGCTAATTTTGCCCTTCATGGCAACTGATGGGGGTGACTTTTTTTTTTATAACTCATCCGTTTAAATTAAAGTCCCCGTGAAATCAAAATGAAACTATTTACTTTGTTAGCACATATTACTAGTCTTGTGGTGAACAATTAATCTGTGCAAGTAAATATATATAAAAAATGTTTACCATGGTAATCTTTAATCAAAATCTGAAAAGTTATTTCCAGTCTGGAATGGTGTCTTTTTCTGATGACATAGGTTAGACGGCTTGGGTTGGGAAATGCTTAACCACTCCCCTCAAACCGTATGAGCGAGAGATGGAGAGGAGTAAAACCCTGCCTTCTGTTCAATATTCAGTTTCACTTGGAAATACGTCACAGCACTGGAGAAAAGTCGTTTGCAACTTCCGGTTCACTGCACTGAAAAAAAAAAAATTGGAGTAGGATTTACTTGAAAAAAGCTAGGCAACTTCTTTCACTCAGAAAATGCTAGTAAATTTACATAGATTTGCCAAGTAAAAACCTAAACATATTTATCAGTAGCTTTAATTAGAAATCTTTAAGTTAAATTTACTTGGAATATGGAATTAAGTAAACTTTACAGAAAATAAGTAATTTTAACTTGGCTAGTAAAACGTTGATTAATATCAATTTAGTTTAAATTTCCTTTGCATTACATTTCACTAAAACAATAATATTGAATTGTATTAGTCATTTACAGTATGTGGTTTACTTAGATCATCTAAAGTAATTTATATTACATCATGTCAGATGTTAAGCAGCATTTGAATGCAAAGACCTCAATACTTGGTAGACAATACACATTGGCGGTAACATTTGATAAGTTTGTTTTTGTGTTTGAATGTGTCATTTTGAGCAAAAGCTTTAATCGAAATGTCACAAAATGTCACCAAGTTACTAATGCTGACAACAAAAATCAGTGATAAAACAGTGTAAATACTGCTGGAAACCAGTGAAAAATGAACCTCATTCATTATTCAAGGTCCAGTGCATGATGGGAACCCCAGAATCAGAAAAGTTGAGTAATTTTTACTTAATTTTATTGAGTTGATATTTACACTTTCATTTCTGCTCGGCTGAATTAAATACTGATATGGAATTTACTTAGTTTTTTTTTAATTCTTGCCTGAACTAACTTTTTCATGTAAATTACATTGTTTTGTTTTTTTTCAGTAGTATTTACTTCACCAAAAAATCATTTTTTACAATGTGGGACTTTAAGCCTTAAAGTTCTGCTCAATTAAGGGCGTGGCCACTTGAGTGACAGGTGTATTGCTGCTGATGACTAGTAGCTGTCTGTTAGCCATCACGTCACCTTAGCTAATCTGCCTCGATGCCCATTTTCATTTTTCCGGGAGTGACGCGCTGCCAAGATGGCGACGGCTAGCTCCGCCCACTTTGGTCTTCAAAAAGGCTCTTCAGAAACATACGGGTGACGTCACAGACACTATTTCCATATATTTTTACAGTCTATGGAATTGCCACATTGTTAGCATCATAGTTTTATCACGTTGCTAATATTATTTAACAGGACGTTAACATATTTTAACATCTTGTTAGCATTAATTAGCATTTTGCTAACATTATCATGAAGCAGCATGATGCTATCATATTTTAACACATTGCTAACATGAATTAGCATGCTGCTAACATTATTTAACATGGCTGTTTCTCAATATGCATTCTTCAGCATCTTGCGTCCTGGTACTTCGTCATCATCGAAGTTCTATTCCAATTATCAAGAACGCAAGGACACATGAAAGTGCCAGGATGTGTTGGTATCGAGGATGCATCGAATGCAGACTTGAGAGAATCAAACCGTTAAAAATCCCATGTACGGAAGCTTCAAACTTCTCGTTTCTCACCATAAACTGTAGTTCTCACTTAAGAGATTTCCTTAAGAAAGAGGTAGCATTTTTATTAGAATATTAAAAAGAATCTTAATATTGATAAAGCATGGCTACTCATTTTCATAAATACACACGGTAAAATAAAAATACATTTGTATGAAAGCAATGTCAATAATAATTTGAAAGAAATGTTAAATAGGTTGTGACATTTGTTTGTGATGTTATGATGTATTTATTGTGCTTTAGTCATTAATCGCTATTTGCTGAGATTACAGTTACTCCACTTTTTTTTGGAAATAGGCTTATTTTACAACTCCCTCCGAGTTAAACAGTTGAGTTTTACCGTTTTCAAATCCATTCAGCCGATTTTCTGATATTTAGAAGAATATCAGTAACCAGACAGTTTCTGGTCTCATTGACTTCCATAGTAGGAAAAAATATATACTATGAAAGTCAATGAGACCAGAAACTGTCTGGTTACTGATATTCTTCTAAATATCAGAAAATCGGCTGAATGTCACAAAGATGTGTTGTGTCCTCGCGTCCTTCCGAGTTCGTTCTTTCGTTTTGCAAGACCGGTCTTAACGGAAACGCAAGTCCGTTCCTTGTGTTCTTGGAATTGAGAAACAGCCGTTGTTAACATTAATTAGCATGTTTCTAACATCATTTAACAAAATTTTAACATGAATTAACATGTCGCTAACATGATTAAACTTGAATTAACATGTTGCTAACATGAATTAACATGTCGCTTCCATGAATTAACATGTCGTTAACCTGAACCATCCTGCTAACATGAATTAACATGTTGCTTACATGAATTAACATGTCGCTAACAGGATTTAACATGTTGTTAACATGAATTACCACCCTGCTAACATGAATTAGCATGTTGCTTGCATGTATTAACACGTCATTAGCATCATTTAGGATTTTTAAAATGTTTTGCTAACATGTTTTAACACATTGCTAACATCAATTACTATTTTGCTAATGTGATTAAACATGCTATTAACATGAATTAGCATGATTTTACAAGTTTGCTAACATGTCCTTAGCTAGTTGCTAGGCTTTGTTAATGATAGATACATAGTGGACGAAGCTTAAATGCTCAATTAGACTAATAAAGGTCGGACCTGAATCTGGTGGTTGTAGCTTTAAAGGTGTAGGATATACAGTCTAAACTTTGGCTCAGAAGAAGTTGTTTAATAGTAGATCAGTAACTTGGCTTATTCAAAAGGTACAATATGTAGGATTTTTCGCCACCAGGGGTTGCTAACCTCTCACAATAACAAAGATGTATCTTGATGACGCAAAGCATTAAACGGAATTAAGGATCTTGTCGTCAAGCTGATGGATCTTTAATGGATGAGTCAATACAGTGATGTTTTTAAAATGACTGTGGTGTGAAGCAGAGCGCGATTGCTAATGAGAGACGTATACCAGCATCACATGTTACGTGAGTCCAGCGTATTTTAAAGAATAAGGACATTTCATTCTAGCAAACTACACGCAAGTGCTGAATTAATACCCACAGCTCAGTTTATTAGACGAAGTAAACTTGAGGTAACTCAGCCATGTTTCATTTTCTCTATCAGCTACACTATCACACTAAATGGCATTTGAGTGTGTTGAATGTTGTTAGTTCGGTTGTATTAGACTAAGCTAGATCAACATTAGAATAACATACAGATCATATTCTAACATTTCATCATGTTGAACTAAATAACACTGATTAGTTTTATGTACATTTGCTCACCTCTCTAATAAAGTACATGCAACACTCGCATCTCTGTCAAGTCGCAGTTAGTCACGGATGTGAAGCTCTCGGCATCTCGAAAGATGTTGATCTTCGTTTTAGTCCTCTTTTCGTCTCAAAGTCTACTTGCCATGGTTCATAATGTTTGAACAAAACAACAACAGCGTGAGCGTCCTGCTAGGCATAACCCATTTGTCCACGTCTGTCGCCATGGTTACTATGGCAGTCTGAGTGGAAACCGAGGGTAACGCGGATATGACGCCATTGACTGGCGACTGGTGACACCCCTGTACACACGTCCCATTTACAATTAGTTGGAAACACTGGGGATATTGTAAGTAATCAATTAAACAAAATATACAACATTGGCCCAGTGGTTTTTGGATATTTTACTGCAAATATCCTACATATTGTACCTTCAAGTCAATTCAAATAATTATTACATTTAAAAATAACTGTTAACGTCACCCTCTGTGGCAATTTTATCTCTTTGCTTGAAAAGAAGAAATATAATTTTTACTCCACAAACCCCTCATTAACAAACAGACACACAACAGCATAGATTTTCCAGAGATCAATTCACCATAAAACTGTTTCAACTGACAAGATCTCAAAAATGTAGATATTCAGATTAAATGACAAAATTAAAAATATTGTTTACCCTTTCATTAAAAGTGCTGAGATGAGAGTGTCTCATATACCGTCAGGAGAAAAAAATAAGGCTCATCTTACCCGTAACGTTGATATTAAATAATAATAACAACTGTACATTTTTTTTTTTAATTACTATTTCTTTCTACTCTCTCCTTATATGACTTCAGTGTTAAAACAGTGCCACGGCAAGCTTTGGTAATCCAGCCTCTCATATTCCCAGCAAGTGTAGAGGAAAAACACAAACAGTCAGTAAGATACCATAGTATAAATCAACATTTATAATATATCTGTGAATAATTACAGTATGTGCTTTAACATCAGTAGTAATCATTAAAACCTTGCATATTTACACAAAGAGTCCTTAGGTAAAACAGTGCTGTGCCATAATAACCCCCATGAGCGAGGCAGTGTGGAGGAGTGAGGTCAGGCGTCCTCCTCGGGAGTCTGGGCCAGGAGAGTGCGGATCTCCTCCTCGTCGTTCAGGGGGCTTTCCTTGTACTCCTCCTTCAGCCACTCTCGGAACTGAACATACACGTCAACAACTATCATCCAGCATATCCCAGCTGTGTTCATATATAGAAATCGGCGTTTGGATCACGTATTTACATGAAACAAACATATAAAGATACTGTATCATTGTATTTGATATGCAAATTTCGGTTACACTTTTTTTAAGGTGTCTCTGTTGTAATTATATATTTAAGTACCGAGTAATAATAATTAACTACATGTACTTACAGGGTTAGGATTAGGAGAGTTAGTTGCGTGTAATTGTGCATAATTTATAGTTAAAACTATAGTTACTACATTTAACGTATGTAACAATGACATTAAAATAAAATGTTCTAAGGCCTCTAAATGATCAAAATGATGAAATCTTTTGGTGGAAAAAACCCTATGCTAACATGTTAAAATCATGCTATTCCATGCTAAAACATGTTCTCCCTTTAAGTTTATCCTGAATGGTCTTATCAAACTATAAAAGGTAAGAATGAAACGGGACCCTTCGCTAAGCCACGCCCGAAAACCGCCACTGGCCAATCATGTCTTAGCAACCATAACTATGCGCGGAAGGTCTGGCAAGCTTTCGAACGAGGGAAACATGCTGAAGCATTGTGCGTATGGATTGTGCAAATCTGAAACCGGTATACTAAAAGTTTGGACGGGGGAGAGGAATTGTTTTCCTTCCAGAAAATCTAAAAGCCAAGGGGAGAAATGATTGGCGTGATCTAGCGTCTATGTGCGAGACCCATTCACAACTACTGGTAAATGTCGACATGCTTAACAAAACACTATTGCTTGGAAATATTGACGGTTCTTTGGTCATAATGATAACGTAAAATAAGACGATTAAAGAGACAAGACAAAGGCTCACTGACATACTTTAAAATATATTTCAGCATTTTGTTAATCGACGTCCTAACGTTACCCCTTACTGAGTAACGTTAGCCTAACTTAACTCAATCCGATCGCGGCTCTCCCGGCATTAGTGTTATTTCACCAGATTTGTTGATAAGCTGTTTGATTTATAATTATTAAGATTATTTTAACATACCCTGCTGTGTATGAACATAGCTGTTCCACAATTTGTGTTTCCCATTTGAACGGTCAGCGTATGAGGCGCTGCTGCTTGCGCTGGGACTATAACGTTAGGCTTTAACTTCAATTTTTAAGAAATTATTCTCTAATCGGTTGCATATAATGTTGTGAATATATCCCTCGAATGCATACTGTAGTCCCTTTTGTCTTTCTCTCTCAGATATTTCACTTGTTCGCCAAAAAATTACTAATTATCTCATTGAAATGTCTGATACCGGGTGCATCCACACTATAATAGATGGGCCAGCCGCGAAAGCTTGACAGGCGTAGCAACAGTAACTAGGGAGGGCGGGGCTTAGCAAAGGGTCAATTGTGCTGCTTCTGTCACTAGTTTCAGTGTTTGAGGGGGAAAATATAATACTGTTCATACAGCGCACCGTTAACGCGACTGCGCGGAGCATCTGAGTCGGCAGGTTCGCGTAACAAAACCAGCCCAATCAAAGCCAAAACTAGCCCAAAACTAACCCACTTTACACATGTAAAACATTTCTTAACCTGGGGTCAGAAGCAGGGTGTAGAACGACGATAACCCAGGGTTGCACATACACATGGTCATTGAAATGGTCAAATCTTTACAGGTTCGTAAAGACACTGCCACAATAACAAACCCATTTGATTAAGATCATCCACCTTCAAACATGAACTCATGAGGTTCAAAAGGCACATCTTCGTTTTGGTGCTGCTAACCACTGACAATGTCATTTCACGCATCACATGTGGAGGAATCACCTGCTGTAGTTGAGTGCTCTCGAACTCCATCAGCTGCGTCTGGAAGCCCACATTAGGTGAAGCACAGGGTCTCGCCAGCTTCACCGCGGCCAGAGCGTCCTGGCAGCCCAGAGAAGTGACGGTCATGATGTAGGCCACCACCAGCGTCACGCTGCGTGACACGCCAGCAAGACTGTCACAGGACATCAAAAATCAGCCACTCGCTAAAGTCATTCATGTTTACACTGGTATTGTGGCTGTTTTGTGCCATTCACTTTCACACTGTTGCTAAATTATATCACTTTGTACACTCTTCTTATCACAGTCCTGCAAACATGAGAGAATTTACTTACAATTGCTGTCTTGTGGTAAAAAAATGAGAGCTTGATGAGTTTTGAAATGTATCCGGATTAATATATACATACATTAGTTTCTTTTACTGATTTGATTCTTTATTTTCACAAAAGTTGACATTAAAGGGATACTTCAGGATTTAGCATTAAGCTTTGTATTAGTAGAAAACCTGTAGCATTTTCGAATTACCGTGCTTTCCACCCTCATATCCCCCTGAGACGAGAGATTTGTGTATTTTTTGTCTGGAAAAAATCCTCAGATGACGCAAAAAATCGTAATTTTGCATCATCGGAGGATTTTTTGTCCAGAGGCTAAAGACTACAGTCAGTAGTAGCGGCTGTCCCGCATGTTCTCAACCCGCCCATAGAGGGTGGATCTCACTCACAGAATGAACACACAGTGTCAGACATCTTTTTTTGGAAGCTATAGCCTGGTTCACACTACATGATTTTAAAACGTCGGGCTGAACTGTGCGGTTCACACTACATGACTTGCTCTCAGTGAAATCATGAGTGTTCAAGTTGTTTAGCTGTTCACACCACACAACACAACGTGATTGATCCACAACAGGAGTTAACGCACTACACGAGTTGACAACGCACTACATAGAGATACAACCACGATCGGATGATAAGAGCATATCATTTGTGACTCAATGAGAGCTGTTTCAGTACTATGGTACGGTCTAAATCCTGAAAATAATCAAATAAATAACGAGTTGACAACAACTCTGTCACCCAATGATTCTATCTGGTCTAGAAATCACCTTTTGTCACGAAAAACCACGCAATAAAATGAACCAGAAATGACGCGAAACTGCAGAGAAGAACACAACACGCGAATATGGACGTCAGACGGAAACTAGTGCTGCACGCTATTTGCAAAAAAAAATGCAAAAACGAAAAGAAAAAGTAAGATTTACCTGGTGTCCTCAACCCATGCGTTGCTATGATTGGCTGTACTCATGACATCACTGAGGTCGAGTCGCGCGACAGCTCTGGATATCTAGCAGGCTAGATATTTTTCTGGGCTCGGCGTCTGCGAGCGTTTTGGCTGCGTTGTTGGCCCATTCATACTAACGGACTGGCAGGCGTTCATCGTCCGCCAATCCCCCGCGATTTGCACGCGATAACACCCTGACCTGTCGGCGAGCTCAACGATTTGCAAATCGGGCATAAATCGGGCTTAAAATCCTGTAGTGTGAACTAGGCTTAAGCTAGCAGGCTCTTGTTTTGTGGAGAAAGCTGAGTGTAGGGGTTACCATCCTGTTTTTCCCGGACATGTCCGGCCGTCGATGTCCAGGATTTTACATGCACACCTTTTGTTTCAATCTAACTGAATTCATTCCGATTTGTGAATCTGAATGTCGTGTTTACATGAACGCTAAACAAGTGATCGGTTCATGTGCGTTTTAACATTGCAAAGAAAATTCCCGCTCCTCCGCGAGAGATATGAGACCGGTGCATCTCGAAATCCTGGGCAGACTCATCACGGAGACTCACTAGTTGCCTAGACTTGTTGTTTGACTAATGCGCTCTGTTACCGGTAGGCGTGGCCTCCTAGGGCAGCAAAGAAAGTGCATTCTGGGAGTTGTTGTCTTTCATCCGCATAAGCCAAAAATACATTTTCTGGCTTTTCTCAGTCTAGAAAGCTCCAAATTCAAAAATAATTTCACATTTCTTCTACATACAAGACCCATTTTAAATACACATTCATCTTTCCAGATGTGAAGTAATATAACTACAGGGCGATACGACATTGGATTACTGCCGTTTGTTTAGGTTAGGGATTACAACGAGCCTTCAAGCATTCAACTTCATAGACGTTGCGAGAGGTTCACATTTCAAAGTTCAAACCTCAGAATGACGTTTCCCAGAATGAAGCTCTCTACACATACGTATATGCTGCATTATATTCTCATGTTAAACAGTGAGGCTCGTGTTTACTGTTGTTTATGGGAAGTTCAAAAATAGCCCACCCCCCTTGACACCTAGTTATCAGCCGTTCACATTATCACACTGGGCTCGATTAGGGCTGGTATCTTGGTTGTGTGCACATTTTGCTTCCTCTTAAGGTAGGCTCTTATATCTTGGTGCATGCAACCATAAGGGTCTACTAACATCAGTTCATTTACAGTGTAGAACATGCAGCACAAACAGGGCTTGACGTTAACTTTTTTGCTCAGTAGCCACTGAGGCAAATGGTTTTTCAAAGTTACTCAGCATTTTCACTGGCCACAAATTTGGCATCGATGCCATGGGAAAAACTGCCATATAGATATTTTTAATAATTTGGCAGCAGGATTTTTAGGCTGCTGTCACTTTAAGACCTGAAGCATGGATCCATTATACTGTTACACATGCGTTTTCTTTCTCAATGGTTTACATTCTCTTAAAACATACTGTGACTATATTTACGCGAATACTCGCCAAGACCGACATTTTGTCATTATTTTGTATATGTGACTGTTTAAGTGCAAAAAGAACTCAATTTAGTACTGAATGGTGGATTTATTTTAGCACACTTTAGGTTTGAGGCCAAAATCTGCAGAAAATTTGTATTGGAAGCATTTCAGTATCGATATGTATCGTAAAAACGATATTTTTGACAACACTAAATTGCACTTAATTATTTCAGATGTCCTTTTAAAAGACTACAATTGAAAAATGTATATATTATATATAAAATTCAACCCGCCAAAGTGTCTAGAAGAGGTGAAATGTCAATGTCAAGCCCTACAAACCCCTCACTTACCAGTGAACTAGACAGCCCTCCCCTTTCAGTCGGGACTTGTGGATGAACGTAATGCTCTCCTTAAAATGCTGAATGCTGTGGAAGGGAAAGAGAGCAATTTTTTCAACCACATATAGGTTTACACAGAAGTGACACAACTGAAATGAAATATAACCTCTTTTAATGAAGTAATCCCATTTTGGACACTGAAGACGCACTTAATGCATGAATGTGAAATATTTGTTTTGACATTTTGTTATCTAATGCATTGACATTCAGGCAGGAAGTGAGCCTTAAAAAGAGTTCACCAAAAGATATTTTAAAGAAATGTTTTGTTTTTTTAACAATGAAAGTCAATGGGGTCCAAAACAACTTTTGCTGTATGGGGGTGAGGGGGACAACATAAGGGTGAGAACATTTTTTGATTACATTTGGTCAGTTTTGGTTCATCTACATGTCATAAAGGTCTGCGTTCAGACTATGACGCAGACAGCGCAGTTCCTCCAGTGGCGGGAAGGTCGTGACAGTAAACGGAGAATTACGAGACATCCTGTACACATGATGATTTCCAGATGCAGATTGCTTATAGCGGCCTTCACAGTTCCAGTCAAAATTTATGTAGGCTTGATATAAGAGACGAGTTCAAGAGACAAGTTCAAGCGGAGTCAGTATTGTACGTGAAACAGCGTTAAAACACTGGCCTAAATATAAAATGTATTATTCAGAAATTACCCTTGATTATAATTGGTTGTCGCATTCGAAGCTGTTGTTAATTACTCTACAAACATACACCAAAGAAATATTCAGTGGTATAAAGTATTGAGTAAATGTTATTAGTTAAGTACTTAAGTAACTTGTACTTAAGTAACTTGTTGGCTACCTTGTAGTGTTACAGAGTATCAAAGATATTAGCTACCTTTACTCTCCACTTGACTACATCTTTGAGTAAGAATATACTCTTTAATCCAGTGCAATTCTAAGCACTTGAGCTTAACAAAGACTTGAGTGTTTGTAGACATTTAAGGATGTTGTGTTGACCTTTATTTATTGCAATATTGAGTAGTTCAAATTTATTTTAATTTTAGAAAATAAACATGATTGCTTTCCTCACAAATTAACCATTTCTTCTTTTTCACTGGCATGTCTCTAACATTCAGTACAATTAAGATACTTAAATACTTACTATTAAAATCAGATACTTTCACTCCCCGGTTTTTGTACAAAAATATACATTTTTAATCATACAATTAATACAGTATATCATTTTTTTTGTTTGTTTACTTCTCATCTATTCATTAATGCTGTGTTTTTGGAGATATAAAGTACTTTTGTATCCATATACCACACAATTCCTCTACACCATTAGCTTGCATATGAAATATTATTTTTTATGATACATTGCATTTATGCTCTAGTACTAGGCCTTCATTTCTGTGTAAAAAATTTCAGATTTATGCCAGATTTTTTATTTTTATTTTTTTTTTAACACATGAAAAAAATTTACATTTCTCATTCATTTCAATGTGGGGTCATATTGACCCCGAAGACCAGAAGTGTAAAAAAAATTTTTTACATAGGCCTACCTTCAGAACAACCGAATCAAGACCAGTTTTTTTGTGTGCGTATAGATAGATAATGTATGAAAAGTCACAAAATCTTATTCCACTGATGAAGGGAACCTTTTTTTTTTTAATTAAGTAAACGTCGAATGGGGTCGTATAGACCCCATGACCCAATTGAGGGCTACGTCTAGTACCAGACTAAAATGCATGTTTGAGCTGTTTAAACTGAGAGCAAATTGCCACTGTTTTGTCTCATGTTTTTTTTTTTTCCTAAGGCATGTTTATTTAAAATACTTAAATACCCTAATTGAACTAATCCTGACTTAATCTCAGCCCTGTCTGTGACACCAGGCTACCATTTTCATTTTTGGGTGAACTACCCTTCAGCTAATTGTGCTCTACTTGTTCTTGGTCCCATACTAAAAAAAAAAAAAAAAAGAAAAAAAAAAAAGACTCTGGTATTTCCATTCACATGTACGGTACCAATCTTTTGATTTGATATATTTAAGTGATCATGCTTTTTAATGCACAAAATGAGCCAGATGGACAGCATGATGGACAAGTTCTGCTCTACACAAGCACTCACAAAGATAATTTAGAGCAGAGCAAAACTAGAAAATCAGATTTAATATTTGTTTAATTATAAAATGCCCTGATATTCACAGGTTTTCCACGATCAGGTCAGGTTGGTCAAGTCTTCACGACATGAGCTACGACTGATTATTCTGTCAAAAAATGATTCTGTGGAGAAGTAAAAACTACACCTAAATAAGTTAGATCAGGCAATAATAAAAAAAACAACAAAGTAAATTCTATATTAGTACAATTTTAGCTTGTAGATTAAGTAAGAAATAATTGACGACGAGCCTGTGAATTATCCGAAAAATACTGCATACCCGCAAAGAGTTTCCCTGAATAAGTGCACACCTTAGCACAGCTGTCAACCAATCAGAATCAAGCTTTCAACGGCCCCGTAGTATAACATCTAATTATCAACGTTTTAACATCAAGCAAAAACTACTCAACTTTCTGATACTGGCGTTCCCATCATGCACTAGGACATGCATTTATCATTTGTTGATAAGATTTGTAAAATCTGGAGTTAATCTTCTCCTCAAAATGACATTCATACTCAAAACTCTTCCAATGAACGTTACTGTTATTGTCTACCGTGCACTAAGCATTGAGATCTGTGTTCGTTATGTAAATATGTTGTCTACACAACATCTATTGTATTATTAAATAACATGTTCTAAATAAAGCATACACTCTGAAAGCATATTGTTAATAAACTTACTTACAAATTACTCAAACTTTAACTGGACAGGTTAAAGTTACTGGTAACACTTTACAATAAAGTTCATTAGTTAACTACCTTAGTTAACATGAACTAAGAATTAACAATACTTCTACAGCCTTCAAATGATCATTTCACCATTTACTAATACTCTATTCAAATTTGTTAACTGTTTGAACGCTGAATGGACAATGACTGAGGAGAGATGAGTTTCCATTAACTTGAACTTAACGACTTAAATATTACTTTTTACCTCATATTAAGTCTAGGATTTTTTTGGGGGGTGGAGCAGCCCACCACAGAAGAATGAATGTAGCTGAAACACTGATTAACATAATAAAACCTTGTTGCATTGTCTTACTATTTGAATATCTACTAGCATATCTACTTGTTGCTACTAGCAACAAAACACAGGCATTATTTAGCTTGAAACTGTCCAGATAGAAATCCAGAAATCTGACTGTGGTTTCTCTTAAGCATCAACATCACGGTCAGGTACGGTAGCGTTTCCTCCAGAACATCCATCCATTTGACAGGACCAGGATGAGAAAGGGATGGGTTTGTCCAGTTTGGTTAAAGAGGGTCAGTTTCACATTACGCATGGCCGGGTTTCGCAGGCTCGTAGGGGTGACAAGAGGGCTGATGGTAAAGGGGGGATAAAAATAAAGGCGTAGTGAGACCAAGGCATCACTGCAAAACCCAGCTCATAACTTCCTTCCTGAACCAAGAGAGCCACAAGAGGAAGTGTGCGTATGTGCGGGTCTCTACGTGCTTGTGTGTGTTAATACATGTGCACTCAAGGGTGAAACTACTTTGATATGACATGTACAAACCAACATCACAGACTGGGTGTAATGAAGGGAACTGCATGTGTAAATGCAGAACTTATTAAAACGTTTGCTTGTGAAAAGCATCGACATCTTCAGGTTGCCACAGTTACTCGCGCTGCCCACTGGCGGCCAGCTAGTAGCAAACACGCCCGTCAGAAATGCACCAAGCCTACTTACAGGTTTTGCGTGGGCGAATCTGCTGCTGAGATGCAAAGATAAGTCATCTCCTAAAGAAACAGAGGAAAGAAGGAGATGTGCTCTAATATGTCTCTAAATCACATGTGATGGAGCAAAACTCAAATATGAAAGACAGTGAACCTTTTGTTTGGTCAAATCCAGAGTTTTTTGTTGCACATGCCCACAATGCGTTCATTTCAGTACCAAACTCAAAACATAGCACTCTCAACACTTATTTAATTTTTTGAGTTTTACTTGCTTAATTTTGTCAATACATTGGAAAAAACTAGTGCTGTCAAACGATTAAAATATTTAATCGCGATTAATCGCATTAATGTCATAGTTAATTCGCGATTAATCGCACATTTTTATCTATTCTAAATGTCTTTTGATTTCTTTTTTTACATTATTTTTTATCAACATGGGAAAGTGGATTGACTTGTTTAGTGCAAATGGTTGTTTTAATTATTATTATTGAAAATAACATTGGAATAGTGCTCAATTTCACACTAACATATACAAATAATCGCTCACACAATGTAACACTGTCTATCAATAAATGGGTGAAAGAAATACTGACGAGGTCCTGATATTGGCGAGGGGGTGGAGAATTCGCATCATCTGTGTTTGTGTGTGTGTGTGTGCTTGGCCATCATCAAGCGGTGTTTCAGACTGGACGTGCTGGGATGATGATAGCCCAGTTCACAACGACAAAACACAGATCACTTGGTCTTGTTAATGGGACAATTTGGCAACTTTTTAAAAGTAAAAAGTAAATTTTAAAAGTAAAAGTTTAAAACTTTCCATTCAGAATCTAAGGGCATCCATTTCGGCGTCTCGCGCTCGTCATCCACTCAAAACGTTACGTTACTATTTGGCCGGCTCGCAAGCCAACGAGTGTGTGCGGTACAAAACGTCCGTTTTGTTGCTTTTTCGACTAAAGTGCAAGCGGATCTGGCTTGACCGTAAACAAAACAACAGGTACGACGCACACACTTGTTTGGGCTTGCGAGCCGGCTTTGAGTGGATGACGAGCGCGAGACGGCGAAATGGATCAGGACGCATGCCGTCTTGTTGCAAAAGCATGTGAAAAAACTACAAAGTTTGCTAGGACAAAAAGGCCGTTAATCGCGCGATAAAAAAATTAACGCCGTTAAAATGGGTTTGCGTTAACGCCGTTAATAACACGTTAAACTGACAGCCCTAGAAAAAACGCAACAAATTAAAAGGTATACTCCACCGTTTTTTTCATATTAAACTATGTTATTCCCTTAACTAAGACGAGATGACCTCTCTGGTGCTCGAGACACTGTGATAGCACTTAACTAGCCCAGTTCATTCAATATGCGCCAAGCAGAGAAGCGACCAAACACCTCCATCTTTTCCCTATTTAAATACAGTTACATGAGAAGTGTAACTCGACCTAGGACGGTGACACAAAATAAAACGTTGCGCTTTTTAACTGGCATAGTTAAGTGCTATCAAAGTGTCTCGCGCGCCAGAGCGATTTAGTACTGAGACGAGAGAGGTATGGATCAACTCGTTGTAGTTAAAGGAATAACATAGTTTAATATGAAAAAAAAAAAATGGTGGAGTATCCCTTTAAGTTTAGTTCAAATGAAAAAAGTAATGCTTTCGGTACAAGTAATTGGGTGCAAAAGTGCTGATTTTCCTGCAAGAGTCAGTGTATCTGCAGAATTTCAGACTTTTTAAGATCTGCACAAATAAAATTAACACTGTTTGTCCCAACAGAACACAAAAAGTGAAAATAAATCTTGTTCACTATCAAATCTCCTGATAATTTACACTCCCCCATGTCATCCAAGATGTTCATGTCTTTCTTTCTTCAGTTGAAAAGAAATTACGTTTTTTGAGAAAAACGCTTCTCCATATAGTGATTTCAATGGGGTCCAACGGGTCAAAGGTCCAGATGTGAGATTCAGTGCAGCTTCAAAGTCTCGACACGATCCAGCCGAGGAATAAGAGTCTGATCTAGACAAACCAGCGGCCATTTTATAAGAAAATAAACATACTTTTTAACCACAAGTGTTCATCTTGCATGTCCACTACCTCACGCATTAGGTAATCATGTTGGAAAGAGTAACGTGACATAGGCGAATAATGTAGTGAAGGGCGTATAAGCAAAGTATAAGCTCTTTTTTGTAAAGGGCGTTTGACTTAGTCTTTATAAACACTGGGTCGGTATTTCCCCCTACGTCACGCTTGACCTTTCAACCTGATTAATAATGTGTGTGGTGCATCACAGATAGTGCAAGACCAGCATTTGTGGTTGAAAAAAATGACTATTTTCTTAAGAAATTCCCCAAAAACCTTAATTTCTTTTCGACGAAATAAAGACATGAACATCTTGCATGATGTGGGGGAGGAGATTTTAATTCTGAAGTGAACAAATCCTTTAAAGGACAAGTTTGGTATTTTACAATTAAAGCCCTGTTTTGAGATGAAATAGAATGGTTTTCTGATGAAATAGAATGGTTAAGATTGTTTTTCAGACAGATGCTGCTGTCCCGAGGATTTTCGGATTCTGTGGTAGCATCCCACACCTCTACAGTGGTAGCATAGGTGCACAGGAACAATCCTTCATAAAATGCATAAAACTTTAGTTTACAAAGACGTGAAACTCACCGAGTGGTCTGGAGTGTTCACTGATACGCTCACACAAAAATCACTGCAAAAGATGCTTTCCAACAGATTTTTTCGTAGTTTTTGTACAACTCCATTGACTTGTATTGTATCTTCTGTGATGTGCTGTATTATTATGTCGCCTGGAAACGGAAATGGGGTTGTTTGTATTCTTTCTTTTGTCTTATGCAGTCGCGGTGTCGTAGGCTACACTATACAAGTGGTTTGCTTGCAATTGGCAAAGGTCCATTATCGCCACCAACTGGGCTGGAGTGTCTATTATTGTTTATATATAGTGCTTTCCAAGAGGTGTTACCATTCATCGTAAAACTGTAGACCTATTTTACCAAACGCCTCACAACCTTACGTTGAGAGCTTGAATAATAGACACTCCAGCCCAGTTGGTGGCGCTAATGCACCTTTGCCAATTGCAAGCAAACCGCTTGTATAGTGTAGCCTACGACACCGCGACTGCATAAGACAAAAGAAAGAATACAAACAACCCCATTTCCGTTTCCAGGCGGCGGAGCAATAACGGACATCGCAGAACATACAATACAAGTCAATGGAGTTGTACAAAAACTACGATAAAACCTGTTGGAAAGCATCTTTTGCAGTGATTTTTGTGTGAGCATATCAGTGAACACTCCAGACCACTCGGTGAGTTTCACGTCTTTGTAAACTAAAGTGTTATGCATTTTATGAAGGATTGTTCCTTTGCACCTATGCCAACATTGTAGAGGTGTGGGGTGCTACCACAGAATCCGAAAATCCTCAGGACAGCAGCATCTGTCTGAAAAACATTCTTAACCATTCTATTTCATCAGAAACGATCTTAAAACAGGGCTTTAATTGTAAAATACCGAACTTGTCCTTTAATTAAACCTGTTCAGCTGCTAAACAGGGTAAAATACTGAGTGTGTAGTGTCATCATTCAGCTGACTTGACATTGATCTCGTATTGTGCATCAAAAGCTTCTTTATATTTTGAAGACATGAAAAAATGAGACGAACTACCTGTAAAATGGGAGTGGCGGTGTCATGGATGGAGAGGATGTGCGTGATGTTGTTTCTCGCTAACTGCTCCCTGTCTCTGGCATCTGTAAATAAATAAATAAACACATTTATCATCTTTCCTAAACATGCACCTTATTAAAAATGGTGTTTTTGCTTCCTGTGTTGTCCATTCTTACCTTTGAAGTTACCCAAGTACAGGTCTGGCAGAACCTGGGACGACACAAGCAGTGTTTGTTCAGTCACAAGCAGACCACACTAATACAAAACCACATACAGCACTAAAAAAAATAGATAATTAATAAGATACCTTTTTTCATTCATGTGTCTCTTGACTGTTCACTCAATAGGGGTGAAAAAAGACTCAACTTCCATTTCATGTTGACTTTAAAGTCCCCACGAAACCGAAAACATTAACATAGCCCGCCCCTAACCCATCACTCACATGAAACCATGGCAACAATTAGCAAACGGAAACATTTTCTACAATCTAACCTCAAGTCCTGCTCTACAATTATTTCCTCAACGATAAGTCATTTCACCCAGATAATTTGTCCTAGCACTGAAGAAAACACAGTCACAAATTTAGACTCTTCTGATTTTGTGAATAAATTTTACCCTGATCGGATTTCTGATCTCCTATTTTAGTGAACAGTGCATTCTTCATGGAGGCTGTGAATGATTTTATCTAAAAAAAAAATGTGTAAAATGAACAAAACAACGATAACACACAAGGATGAAATTATGTTGCCATGGTGCTTATGTGCGGTTGCTATTATTGCTATGAGCGATTTTTATTTATTTTTTTTCCACAATACTGTGCAGATGTTTCGAGTCGCTGTCTGGGTGTTGTGGGCTGTTGCCATAGACATATACACTAGACCTCACCTTGGCTACGGCAGTTCATTGGAACGAATGCGTCATTAGAGCCGCCATCTTGAAACAGGGGAGCCCCTCCACTTTAATGCATCAGCGTCAATGTAGTAGACACAGGTCTAACGGAAATAAAATCACCATAAATCATCATGAATGCGATTTTTCTTGTTTTTTTGGTTTGTTCCAACGGTCAGACATGTATTTATCATTGATTCCAAAAAGAATTTTTTTTTTTTTTAAACATTCTTCCTAGTTCAGATTTCATTGGTGAACATCATACGCTGCACAAAAGTCCGCCACCATCAATGAATTCGAAGTAAAGGCAGAGATTGCAGCCTTACCTAGCTACTTCCTATGACAAGACCCCTGTTCCAAGATGGCGGCGTTTTTGACGCATGCTTAGAACCCCAAGGTGAGGTCTAGAGTATATGTCTATGGGCTGTTGCCAGAACATTGCTAAATGTGGTTGCTAAAGTGGTCTACTTGTCAGCACACTAAGTGGACGTTGCAGCACGTTGCTATGCGTGGTTGCTAGCGTGTTGTTGGTTGTTTATAGGCAGTTACTTACTGGCCAAAGTAAAAAAAAGAAAAGTCCATCTTCAATATTATTTGTGAGATTTTTTTTTCAACCGTTTTAGTAACCGCGCAACTCCTCAACAAAACATATAGCAGCTAACGTTAGTTTGAGGAATCATTCATAACCGTCACAAAACTTTCATACTTAGTGATTTGTTCAAATCTCTAGCACAAAGTATAAGTGACGCTTTCCTCAGCCAACATCATTAATAAGCACAAACACTTGAAAGGCAGCGTATAGTTTGTTCGTGCATCGATTATTGCCACGTCGATCGATAATCCCTTTCAAACTCACAGACGTGAACAAGCACTAACTTACAGAAGGAGATGAGGGAAGCATGTCCATATACCTTATTTATTCCGTTTCCCATGCCAAGGTGTTTGTTAGCAGTGGCTACTAGTATTTCAGGAGTCCGCTTAAACGAGATTTGTAACGTTAACGTACCAGTATATCAACAGTTTTGAATCATTATAAGCGCTCACAACACAAGCCTCACATCCAACTTGTCGTGCTCACTCCAATCTGTGTGAGTTCCTGGAGCCTCTCTTAAAGGCGCAGTACACACAAATAACAGACACTGATTCTGCCAAAGGACTCGCGGGTTGTTTTGTTATCAGGACAGTTTTCCTGTGTGGAATTAAGTGGAATTACTGTATTTCAGATTAAAAAGAGTGACTAGTAAGTTTAAAAATACACAATTGTCTTTTTAATTTATTGTAGTGTCATCAATGTGATCCTTCTATGGGTAAATATATGAATCCATTACACTTAAGAGAATGATAACAAAGAGGATATTTTTATTGTTTTATAACCGTTTTCTGCAAGCTTGATTCTGATTAGTCAATCCATAACTGTCTCTATAAATTAAGTCAATAAATAATTCAAATTAATTTATTCATCTTCCATTTGCTCCATCACCATAACCTTTGATTTGAACATTTTCTTTGACACTAATGTATATTTTATTTTATTTATATACATTGCATATCTTGGAGAACAACAACAAAGAGGACATATTTCAAATATTTTTATTTCTGGAAAGCTTGATTCACTCCACTGTCTCTGTAAGCCCATAAAATAAATCCTATTTATTTATTTATGTATGTATCCATCTTCCATTTGCTCCTTCACCCTACAAACCTTTGATTGGCATTGCTGCATATTTTTTAAAGTTTACAAACATTCGCTGTTTATTTATAATAACAAGCTAATAAATGTTAAATTAGATAAAAGTGTGATAAAAGTGTGATCTCGTGATCTGTGATTGATTATGTTTGTCTGCCTGAATTTTACTTTCACTTTTGTAAACCAATATCCCGGAAGCAAAGGAGAGGAGAGAATCGGCGTTATGTGACTCGGTATGTTATACTGATGTAACTTACTTTCGTGTTTAGGGTCAGTGTTAAACGTGTTTTTTTTACGGTAGTAGGTGAAGTCTAATGAAGTCAACAAAGGAACAGAGGAAAAGTTGCGTCCATCCGACTTGTATTGTAACTAACTAATGTACAAGTTTTGCCAAAGGGAAATGTACAGCGCAACTAACTGCAACTTTTCGCGTACTGACGTTTATCATTATTAATTTGTATCTGTCGGTTTTCTACGAACTTATTTTCTGTGGCTTTTCATTTCAATTCTTACTTTTGAGCGTCGGGAAATATCGATTTGAAGACTTTTAATGTTCACCACTTCCGCAATGCTCCAGACAGAGTTATAAAGTTGTTGCCTATTTTTCTGTGGTTCTAAGGGAAGTGGTAGAATAGAGGAAATATGGCTACATCATCGAGTCTGAATCTCATGAAGCCAACAGACCTGATCAAGAAAGAGCCTTTGGATTATGGAGGGTTTGGGGAAGTGTACCTGTGTTACCACAAAACACTAGGCCAGGTGGTGTTAAAGACAGTCTACACTGGACCGCCTCGTATCGGGTGAGTGACAGGCTTGTCTTGGCAAGAACTCGATTCATTATGCTTTGTTGACTTTAATAATTTACATATAAATGGAAAGTTCACCCAAAAATGAAAATTCTCTCAGTTTACAATCCCTCAAGTTGTTCCAAACCTGCATGAGTTTCTTTCTTCTGCTGAACACAGAAGAAGATATTTTGAAGAATGTTTGTAACCAAACAGATCTACTGTACTATTGAAGGTACAACATCCATAGTAGGAAAAGAAAATACTATGGTAGTCAATCTGTAGATCTGTTTGATTACAAACATTCTTTCACATATTTCCTTTGTGTTCAGCGTAAGAAAGAAACTCATACAGGTTTGGAACAACTTGAGGGTAATAAGCTTTTAATTTTTGGGTGAACTTTCTAAGTAATGATGGGATGATTTTGTGTGTGAAGTTGAACTAACACACTTTAATATGACTGTGTGTCAGGCGCCAGAAGCAGTCTCTCCTGGATGAAGGCAGTCTGATGAGCAGACTCAACCATCAGCGAGTGGTCAAGCTGCTCGGTGTGATTCTGGAAGATGGAGACTATTCTTTAGTAATGGAGCTCATCCCTAACGGAAACCTGCTCAACATGCTGGAGACGGTGAGACGATGTCAAAATGTACATCAAGTTTTGCACTTTTATTTGAATGTGACCAGTGTGACATTGAGTGTCCAAAGACAATCTGAATGTACTTGTTATGGACGCTCAACATCTGTAAAGTTATTGGCACCTTGATCGCTGCGATTCACAGAAACAACTGGAGAGCGAAGGGTAGATTGGCATTTACTACGAAATATTTATCATCGTATATTCTGCATTATTAGACATTTTAAATAAAGTTTTAGGGCTGGATGATATATATTGATGTAACATTGATATAGACGAATCCGACGAGCGTTCTTGTGTAGGCTGCCATCTTGTGGCGACGCCATTACTGAGCTGTTACACCGGCATAGACATATGCACCGGCATGTAAACAAACCTCGGAGATAAGGTGATAACGCACCCTTGATGACAGCTACAGCCAGGCAGAATGACTTGTTGGGTTGATGATGTTAGACATTGGCCTCCAGTCACAGATGAAGGTACAAACGATCTTACAGATTATTTATGAAAATAGCTTGGCAAGCTAGCTAGGCTAACGTTTGCTACAGAGGAAACTAAAAAAAGATCTGTCCATTTGGCAACAATAAATAAATAAATAAATGAAATCTAATAAACAATTTCATGTTTTTCATTTGTGTCCATTATTTATCTCATTTTTACATTGCAACGGGCATGGGTAAGGTAACGTTACAGCTAGAAAGTATACATAATATCGACCAAATACTGTTTTTAAACCATGGAAAGAGGTCAATATAACAGCAGGAGAACAATTATGTCACATAACGTTACATTCAGCTCAGGAAAGCCATTTAATGACCATAGCATGTAAATTGAATAGAAAAAATAACAAGAGAGGAGATTTTGCTGATCACTATATCACACATTTATTATATTTTTTTACTTATGTCATTAAATAATTGTTATTATACGCGAATGTCCGCGTCTTGTACTCGCCCAGGAAATCTGTAAACCGTACGGCACCAGACAGGGGCATTTGACCCGGGGTATTCACAATGTTTTCTCTTCAAAATTGAAATTTTACTGCCACCATTGAAACAATTTATAACGGAAACTGTTTACCCACTCGACATTATACAAGGGCTAACGTTGTAACATTAGTGACAGTCGTAAATCGCGGGCTGTTTATTCCAGTGGACGCAAGTTGCAACTAAAACAATAGGAGGCAATGGCGCAACGCTACCCAGCAACAGCTCAGTAATGGCGCCCGCTTACTTCCGGTAGTTTCGCCGGATTCGTCTATAAGTGATCACATAGCTTTAGACTTATTTCCCCAGTATCGAAATCCTACACAAATAAATGTCAGGAAACATGATTCCTGCTGCATGTCAAAATCCACGGATCACTGGATCTTTGGTAAGTTGTAAGGAAAAATATATTGAGTACAACCTTTAGTTTAAACGTTAGTGACGTCAATGCATAGCCGATCTATTCATTCCCTTAAATTCCTGATAAGTTTGGACTAATTCTAGAACCCCCCAGCTTAACTTCCCATGGAAAGTTTCTGGAAATGTTCCGCCCCTTTGCATTGCTTAACTGTGACATATATCCAGAGGGGGGTTTGTTGGGGGGACGGAGGGGCTTTCCCGTCATCTGGGAGAACAGATGACTCTCTGTGGTCATAAAAAATCCCAGGATGTCTTTCGTAAGAGCAGGGGTGTAACCCCGGCATCCTGGCCAAATTTGCCCAGTAGCCTCTGTCCATCATGGCCTCCTAATCATCCCCATATACACCAATTGGCTTCATCACTGTCTCCTCTCCACCAGTAAGCTGGTGTGTGGTGAGCGTTCTGGCGCAATATGGCTGCCGTCGCATCATCCAGGTGGATGCTGCACATTGGTAGTGGTTGAGGAGATCCCCCCCTCTATGTGAAGCGCTTTGAGTTTCCAGAAAAGCGCTATATAAATGTAATGAATTATTATTATTTTTAACATTCATCCCATTCATTGAACATTCATTGGAGTTTAGAAAGAAGTGTTTGGCACACCTGGCTCTAGGGGCGCTTTGCATTGTTCTAAAATCAGGTTCAATTAGCGTTCGATGAACGCGCTGGGTTTTTTATATTGGTCATATAGATAAGAGACTTCATTTGAAACTAAAGGGTCTTCTTTTATTTGTATCTTATTATCTTTATGCTTTAAAATAAAGGATAAAGAAACAAACGGTAACACTTTACTTGAAGAGGTGTGCATAAGACTGACATGACACATTCATAATCATACAATGACACATATCATGAATATGAATGAGGTTTCATCCATGTTTATGACAACTGTCATTAAGTGTCATTTGCTCAGTTATGACATTTGAAAGCAAATATGACATTGTTTGAGATGTCTTTGTAATGGCACCTTGACATAACCAATACATCATAACCTGTCAGTGTCTTTGTCATGACAACTTGACATTACCCAGACAATATAACTTGTCCTAAATATGTCATAAACATGACAGATTAATTATCAATCTTAAGAAAGCACTTAGCTTTAACATTACAATTCTAATATGCAGATAAAATGCTGGTGTGGACGGAGATCGTATTCGTTTTAATTCTACGTTTTTAAATGAAAACGCAGTAGTGTGGACGGGGCCTTAGTACATTGTCTCAGTAATTTAGCAGGTTAAATGAGGTCAAATGTTAAAACATGGTTAGCTTAATATTCAGTTAAAAATTTTCCACCACACTGTCATGAGGCTGTTATAACTGTGCCATGTCAACTACAGTGGTAGGTACACATTCAATTTGTCATTAGTAATTTCTTATATACTGAAGCCAAGTAGTTTCTTAAGTTTGATAATTAATCAAGTTTGATCATTAATTATTGATAATTGATAATTAATCTGCTATGTCATGTTATGTTGTCTTGGTAATGTCATGTTGTCATAACAAAGACATTTCAAACAATGTCATATGGGCATTAAAAATGTCATAATTGAGCGAATGACACTCAATAACAGTTGTCATA